GGGGCCGGGGTGGGCGTGGTCTGGTGTGGGGGCGTGACCTGGCGCGAGCACCCGTCCTTGGAGAGCTTTGGCTCCGAGAGCCTGCAGGGCCCTCTGGGGAGCCACCTGCCTTCCCTGGGCCTCATTTCCCTCATCCGTAAGATGGAGACAATTAAAATGCAGCTCGGCTGGAAGCGTTGGGTACTTTTTGTTTTTCGTTACCTCATGAGGGTCACCGTCACCACCCCTGGCCACCTGGCAGATTCTGTCCCATCCAGTGGGCTTTTCACAGGCCTTTGCCATGGAGGAGAAGACCTGACTCTGCTCCCTCTGTTGGGAGCCAGGGACTCGAGAAGCAAACAGTCTGAGGAAAAGTCAGAGACTGCTCTGGAAGGTTGCTGGGTGTGGCCAGCCCCACTCCCTGTGTGCCTAGCGCTAGAGCACCTGTGTGCTGCAAGGGGATTATGAGAAACCCAGGCGCACCTGGGGTATCTGCTTGGATTATCTACTGCACCTGGTGACAGGGAAAATACATCTTACAGTGAAGGCATATGGTTCCATTATGGCCTAGATTGCAAAAGGAAGATTAAAAAAAAGAGTCTTCAGGCTGAGCATGGTGGCTCATGTCTGCAATCCCAGCACTTGGGGAGGCCGACGCCGGAGGATCACTTGAGACTAGGGTCCAAGACCAGCCTGGGCAACATAGTGAGACCTCGTCTCTACAACAACAGCAACAAAAACAAAAAATTAAAAATTAGCTGGACATGGTGGCATGGCGCCTGTAGTCCCAGCCACTCAGGAGGCTGAGGTGGAAGAATCGCTTGAGGCTAAGAGGTCAAGCCTGCAGTGAGCCGTGATTATGCCACTGCACTCCAGCCTGGGTGACAGAGTGAGACTCCAAGTCAAAAAGAAGAGCCTTCACATCAACCTTGTCCTCTCTCCAGGCCTCTCTGGGTCCAGCTTCTCACCCATGGGGATGTCCTGTGTGTGGTTTCTTCTCTGCACGCAGAGAGGCCCTTCGAGTTCATTTTCATCTTGCCATAAAGAGATGGGAAACTGAGGCCCTGGAGGTACAACGCGGGCCTAGGGTCCCTGGGTGAGTCTGAGTCACAGCTCCCAGGGGCCCCCTGGGTGCCGCGTGGCAGGCTCAGAGGAGGGACTGGGCCCTCACCTGAGCACAAAGTCATGACTGTCGATCTCAGGCCCATATGAGGACTGCCTCAGGTTGCCCGAGTTGCCCACGACGGCGCAGCGGCGGCAGCCCACGGACCTCTTCTCCAGGGTCGGGTCCACGTTCCCAGGCACCACGCGGAACAGCTGCCTGACCGTGGCGTTCAGGTCGTTGGGCTTCTTCTCCCGTTGGAGCCTCTAAAGGTGGGAGCAGCAAGGTCAGCTGGGTTGTGCTGCCTCTGACCGTGCAGGCCCAGCTCTCCGGCTGCAGAGCCCCCAAGGGCCCTGCTGCTGTGTTCTGGGACCTCCCATGCACCCTTCTGCCTGCTGGGCCCCTGGGAACAGAGGCAGTTGGAACACAACCACCTCCTCCTCCAAGGAGCCTGAGGGCTACTCAGAGAGAAAAGAGATCTTTTGCAGCAACAGGGAAGGAGCTGGAGATCGGCATCCTAAGTGAACTCACTCAGAAACAGAAAACCAAAGTCCAGACATGGTGGCTCACGCCTGTAATCCCAACTCTTGGGGAGGCTCAAGCATGAGGATTGCCTGAGCCCGGGAGATTGAGGCTGCCTCAAGTCATCATTGTGCCACTGAACTCCAGTGAGGGTGACAGCATGAGACTCTGACTCAAAAAAGGAAAGAGAAAACCAAATTCTGCATGTTCTCACTTATATGAGGGAGTTAAATGGTCACAAAGATGGAATAATGGACACTGAGGACATCAATGAAGCAGGGCGGGGGGTGAGGATTCAGAAATTACTTGTTGGGTACAATGTTCACTATCTGGGAAATGGGCCACTTGAAGCCCAATCCCTGCCACTACACAATGTCCACATAACAAACATGCTCTTGTACCTGCAATTCTAAAAGAAAATAAAAGTACCTATAAAAAAAAGGTGGAGGCAGCCATTGATGAAACATAAGTGAATGGCGACGTCTGGGTGGCAATAAAGCTTTATCTTCAAAATAAAAAAAAAAAAGGTCATGCATGCCTTCTGCAAATGTTTCCTGAGCACCTATTATGCACCAAGCGCTGCTGCAGCTGCCTGAGACAAGGCTCGGGTGACCAGCCCAGATGGTCCCTCCACACCCACTGTCACAGGCGCCTCAAACTCCACATGTCCCAAGCAGAACTCTCTACCTTTCCCCTAGCCTACTCCCCTAGGGGCCCCCTCTCTTTGAAAGATCCTCCATGCCCCTGCATGTCACAGCCAGAGTCCACACCATTGTCTCACTTGAGCCCCCCTCAGATACCAAGCCCTGGGAGCTGCACGCCCTCATTCATGCCTTAGCAAGGAGTGGGTGGGAGTGGGGAAGTGGGTGGCGGTGCCAGTCTTCAGCCCTGGCAGGGCCAGGGGGTCACTGGCAGTGAGAACCTTCGTGCCATCTCCTCTGCCCACCCCTCAGCTCCCCCAGCCCCAGGACTGGACCCAAGAACCAGCTGTTTGCTGGAGGCACAAGCGCCTCGGACACTTGCCTTTGAAGACCTAGCTTAAGGGTCACCGTGCCCCAGGATACCCCCTGGCCTCCAGGCAGGGCCAAACACTAGTTTTATCCCAAGGGTGACCAAGTATCCCGGCTTTTCCAGAATTGCAGAGTTTCCCTAGATGCAGGATGTTCCGTGCTAAAACCAGGATGTGCTGGTTACTCTACTGGTCCCTGCACTGCCCAAGCCTGCCCACTGCCTCAGGTAGACCACTGGCCAGGCTGTGGAGTGACCACCTGTTGACACCTCTGTCTTCCTCCCCCGTGTAAACTTGAAAAGATCTCAGAAGAAGCACTGCTTCCAGCTCTGTCACCATGCCACCATGTTGGCACAATTTCAACTACAAGACAGGCTCATGGGGGCCGCATAGGTTGAGTGACTTGTCCCAAATCCAAAGCAGGATTTGAGCCCAGGCTTCCAGAAACCCGCATGAAAGTTTCTCCCACAGTACAACCATGGCCTCCGGCCCTCGGAATATTGATCTTTGGAAAGCCCAGCCCCTGGGGCCAGAGGTGGGGGAGGGAGGCTCTGGGGTGAGTCCCACCAGCTACTCTCTGCCCCAGGGTCAAGGGTATGACTGGAAGAGGAGGCAGTGGCTGCAGGAGGCGTCAGCTGCTGTCCAGGAGGCTAGTGAATGGGATGGAGGTGGGGGTATGCAGGGAGACCCCCAGTCCCCACCTGGATGGACAGGGTCAGAATTCCCAAGGGAAGGCACACCAGCAAACTTGGAAGGTGCCTCTAGTTAAAACCATCTCGCTGCCTGAGTCCTCAAGTTCGAGACCCGCCCGGGCAACTTGGCGAGACCTCATCTTTACAATAATCCAAAAATTAGCCCGGCGTGGTAGCGCGAGCCTGTAGTTCCAGCTACTTGGAAGGTTGAGGTGGAAGGATCGCCGGAGACCCGCAGGTCGAGGCTGCGGTGGCCGGTAGTGGTCACTGCACTCCAGTCTGGGCGACAGAGTGAGACTCCAATTCAAAAAAAAAAAAAGGTAAAACGGCCCTGGTTGAGGCATGAGTCTGACCATTTCTCCATCTGCCAGCTGTGGACATAAAGTCCCTTTCCTTCCACCATCTCTTGTGTCTCGAGCTTGGCTTTGGCAACGAGTGGCCAAACTTGTGGCCAGTTAGAGAAACACTGTGACATTCTTGTACTCATCATGCAACGGCATGTAATGAGCACCGACTGGGTGACACGCAAGTTTTGCCATGGAGGCCTGGGGCTGAAGACTCAAGGTTGGCCTTGCGTGCGTGTTGGGGCACTTTGCATCCTTCGCTTGGTGCAGGCGTACCGCACCACGCGTCCTGCCCGACTACAACTAACTTCCTTTTCTCTAATGACTCCCTTAAGAACAAAATGTCAGTCAATTTGAAAAGGAAACCTCACGCCTCCACCTCAAGTGGAAAGCAAGGATTCCTTGGCAGAAGTAAAACAGTAATTGCACAAGACAACGGAAACAGAACAACCTTAGTCGGTTGTTGCTTGCCCAGGCAGGCTGTCCTTGCTGTCAGAACAAGACTGAGGAGTGCTCAACGGTGCTTAAGAAAACGGCAGCCAGAAGAAGCATGCACATTTCAAGTGAGAGGGAAGAGCCAGGGGCCACTTGCTCACTCTGTGACGCTGTGTTCCTGAATGCCCTGCCCAGTGTCACCAGTGTCGGGAGGCCCCACTTCAGGGGTCTCAGATCTGCTCTAATCCTCCAGCGGCATAAAGAGGAGAAGGAGTCTGCCTGGACACCAGCAGGGGCTGCCTCGCCGGCAGCCAGGAGAGCTTGGGTGGAACACCGAGTTGTCCTCTCTGAACAACCCTAACCCTTTCATCACAGCTGAGCCAGATCACCAGGCCACAGCATGCGATGTCACTGTTTCCGAGAAATCTGTTTTTCTCTGCCTTCTGTCAATGACAATAAAAGCACGACAAGGCTACGGATATGAATACGGGAATGTTTAGAAGTTCAAAGACGCTCTCCCTTACTTCCCTGACTCGTTTCCAAGTATATTTCTTTGTAGACAGTCAGCACTCAATACACGCCTGCTGACTGAGAGTCTGTGCCCCTTGAGGAAGCAGTGTGTGGTTCCTGGAAGCAGAGGCAGAGGCAGGGATGCAGGTGCCCAGGGCCAGCGCGGTGGAACGAAAGTGAGGGAGCCAGCCGGGGTGGGGGGGAGCAGTAGGGGGCGGTCTCCGCAGGAGGCCACAGTGCTGGGGTGGGAAGATGTCCTATGCGGTCAGGGGCCGAGATCAGGGAGGGCCACACGCTCCCTCTCCCTTCAGAATGCTCCCCTGCGCCCCACCCTCGGAGGTTCCTGATTTGGGGGAAGCAGAGAAGGTGAACTCAGCATTTCACGTGGCTTGTCTCAGAATTGGAAACGGGCTCTGGAGAAGGGGGACCCCTGCCCTAGGTGCCTGAGACAGAGACCTGAGGAGACAGCCGCAGGGGTCGGTGGGTCTGGCCTGGGACAGCGTGTGATCTCTTTGCTTACAGCAAAAGGGGGTGATTACAGGCATGAGCCACCGTGCCTGGCCAAATAACAGTATTTTAATAAAGTTATTTCTAGGGGCTGCATTGGATGTGCTGATGGGGACAAGTCACTTAACTTTTTTGAGTTTCAGTTTCTTTAGCTGTAAAATGGGGATAGGGGTCTCTCAAGTTTCTCTTGTACCTGCTGATTTACAAGGTCCTTCCTGTTTGGTTCACACCAGGTCATGGAGACATGCCGTTTGTCCCTAAAAGGCCTTTGCCGAATCCCATGGTGACACTGACATTCACAGACTCTGAGCGTCAAAGGGAAGCGTGGACTGAATCTGGCCCCACCCACGGTTGTTACGGGGAAATCTGAACCCCAGGGAGGAGCAGGGATGTGTGTGAAGCCACCCCTGCCATCCGTGTCCCCACGACTCTACCCTGGTCGTTCTCCAATGGGGCGACCTTATACACATACACGCTGCCTGGGACAAGCTGGCAACATCTGGAGACATTTGGCTGTCATACCTGGGAACTAGGCTCCCCTGGCATCCAGCGGGCAGAGCCCAGCGGATCAACATCCCACAATGCCCAGGGCAGCCCCAGGAACTAAGAACCGTCCAGCCCCACACATCAATGGGGCTGAGGCCGAGACCCTGTCCTGGCTCTTACCGCGCTGGTTCAGGGCCTCCTTCCAGAACCCCGAATTTTTGAGGGGGCAAAGACCCTGCCTGTCTCGTTCTCTGTCACCTCCCCAGAATCTACCCCAGGGACCTGCACACAGAGGCATTCAATGCAGATTCGCGCACTGGGACTTCGCTAGGTCATCTGATCCACAGCCCAGTGCTTTTTTCTGTTCATTTCCAATAGACCACAGGTCCCCGAGAGCGGTGGTTACTCAAAGAAAATGCCGTGTGGGGAAGTTGGCCTCTTGCAGGAAGTCTTCCTGGTTGTCTCAGCCCACACTCGCCTCCCTCCTCTCTTAGCAAGATGTGGGAGGGAATTCACAAGCTACGTCAATGGTCCTATTTACGTGCGGATTTTAGCCCAGATGCTCCCCCCTCCTACACCCACACGTGCCTCCTCACGCCTCTAGGCCAAGGCCACATGAGAGCTGCTCCCTCTGCTTGGAGCGTGCTTCCTCCAGAATTCACCTGGATAACCTCTCTTCATCTTTTGTGCTGCACCTGGCCACCACTTCCTCTGGGAAGCCTTCTCTGATCGCCCCAGACCCCAAGGTGGGATCAGATGTC